CAAAAAGCCCCAACATATTGGTCTTCATACGTTTCGAGTAACTCGTGAATGTTGCATAAACACAACGCACGAGCATACAAGAAGCTAAAACAAGCCCCAGAATTACACGATCATAGCATAGTTTATTTACATAGACAAAAGTTGCAACCATTTTCATTCCTCTTCCTGCCTCAACTTCACTCGCACAAAGTAGCAAACCAAATCATAGAATGCCTCATTAAGAACTAAGTAGAATTTCAACCGGCCAACTTGCTTTGTTTAGCGATTTTGTTGAATGTAAGTAAATAATGATTTCTGGCTCTGGCGACGTCCGCCATATGATGGAAGAAAGCTCAGTACGGTGTCATCGAGGTTGTGGACGGTGAGTCAAGGTCTTCTTTGCACAATTCAACAGACAAAATTTCAAGGCATCCGTCCTTCGGTATCCGGTGAGGCCAAATAAAACCCTTATTAAACAAAATGAAAGGTATGTCAATATCAATTGAGACCCAGCTTCTCTTCAAACAATATCTTTAGTTTGCTATGGAGACCTTCATTTCGTATGAAACTGCATGAGGAGGAGATTCGTAGGTTGATCTCACGAGAAGAGGACGGCTGAATCCCGTTGTACTGTAGCTGCCTGTATATTGACGCAATCCACGAGACATCCTCCGTCACTTTGGGTGAAAACGAGCTGAGCTTTCGTCCATTATCTGATGAGATCATCAGAGCTAGAACTTATTCTTTTAAAAGTATCACGATAAAACCATGTAAAGAAGACTAGCTGGCTCCATCTTACCTCTTATATAAGTTCATGACTAAAAACTAAAATTAGTAAGCCTATATATATGTAGAATAGTTTGGCTAATTAACTTTTATATTGGTCCCGGAACTTTTACTCCAGTGTGTGTGTGTGTGTTAGCGTCTATACGCAATATCGGTCCTAAATTAGAGTGACAAAAAAGGCTAATGACAGACTCTGGTCTGGAAGAAAACTCCAAAGACTAAAAAGATGGGAATATCGCATATTTAAGGCATACTTGACTTGAACAATTGGCCCATCCTCTCGAAACGCGTAAAGTAGGAGATTTAAAAATGTAAGAGCCTATAAGCATAGTAAAGTGATATACCAGTTGGCCAGGTTGGCCTGGCCTTCTGAAACTGTGGGGAATGGAAGCAATCACAGTCGGCTGATTTAGAAGACTGGAGAGTCAGAAGTCTCGACTAAGGCAAGATTTGTTTGTATTTATCAAACTCCACTTTCGCATCGCCTGTATCGCCTAGTTTCGGGCCTAAGACTAAGGGGAAAATGAAGCCGGAAAATGGTGCCTTTATGTGTTTATAGAAGAAAAGGTCGATGGCAATATGGTGTCAGCTACAGGCGGCGAAGTTGTGCTTCCGACGGAAGCAGCATCAGACAATTTTGCAAGCAAACTAAAACTTGAGCTTTCATGCACGTAGCAGGAGCATCGTCATCAACATCAGCATCAGCATCAGCATCAGCATTAACCTTAGCATCAATTTCTGTTCATCACACACCTTTTTAACATTCCCATTTGTACTAGTATACATACGTGTACGTGTGTATGGGGCCATTTGATCTGTTGAGAGGGCAGAGGAAGACGCCCCAGAGAGCAGGAGGCAAGTAAGCCGAGACATGGGTCAAAGACCATACCCCCAGAAGGGCCGAGGTAGCAAGTAGCCTGTCAGTGCCAAAGAGGAAGGGCGGAGTCGCACGACCCTGTTGAACATATAGTGCAAAAGCAGTGGCATTTTGGCAGAGGAGGCAAGTGGGTATAGCAAGCAGGGTGTACCAGTCTACCTCGCCATCTTTGCCTGTATGGAGCCGTGCTAAATGTGTGGATAACGTGAAAAGCGACAAGCAGTCAGCTGATTGGCTCCCAGTTGAATGGGATAAATAAGTCATGCAGCAATAACACAACACACAGACAGAGTGGCTGTTCCACAATGAAGTCTGGCTGCAGGATCTTGAGTCAGTCTGGAGGCCAAAATGATCACCTCGACTAGTGGGCAAAGAAGGTTTTCACAGTTGCAGATGTCCTTCAGTAGCGGATTTGCACAAGCATAAATAACCCGAAGCTTAAATGAAAATAAAGACAGTTTAGCTTAGAAAGAAATAGTCATCAAGTCCTCACCATCAATGAGAAGAATTCTTTCTATTACCCTTTACTATTGTTATTTTATTACTAATTATTATTATTATTGTTTCGATAACTAATAAGTGCACTATTCCTGTTAGCAGTAACGCGAAATTCCGTTTCGTTTGAAGATTATTCAGCAATGTCATATTGGTATGAAGACTTATAGGAACGCACCTAGTCCGGAGTCCATTGTCTGCATCATTATTTCCAAAGTTACGTGGTACATTCCCAAACGTTTCGCCGGCATCGTCAGTGAGTATCGCCATTCTAAGCACCATACAACAACTCGTCAAAGAGACAAGTCGCTCAAGGAACACACCACACTACATAAAAAAAAGACGGCAAAAATAGTAGTAGTGAAGGCATGATAGGATGATACCGGAAACGCAATAACCCAGGGCTGTAGGAGAGATACCACAATTGTTCAGCCCACGTTTGGTCAAAGGATCGGCTTCACTTGTCTCTTTGACGAGTTGTTGTATGGTGCTATGGATGGCGATACTCACTGACGATGCCGAATACGATACCGGCCAAACGTTTGGGAATGTACCACGTCCACGGTTCCACTTTGGAAATGATCATGCAGACAATGGACTCCGTACAAGGTGCGTTCCTCATGGTCTTCCTGCCAATATAACCAAGTTGCGAAAACAAGGTCAAACAACTTCTATACAACGAAAGGAGCCTGCGACCACACAAAAGGCCA